TATATGTTAATTAATTGAATTTAAATTTAAAAAAATAAAAATAAAAAAGCCAGCTTGAACAGGCTCCCACTAGCCAAATCTAAGACAACTTTAGCCACAAAATACTGGTAGTGACAGATTATTACCTTTAAAATTAAAAGGAATGCATGGATCCCTACCATGTACAAAGAGAAGGAGAGGGAAAGGAAGAATGATAAAACAAGTGTGAGAGTATCCCCCCACATCTGCGGAATCTGAGGGAAAGGTATACTGGAATTCTCTGTATTATCTTTACAACCCTGTTGAAAAGTCTAAATTACATCAAAAGAAAAAGCTAAGAAGAAAAAAGTGTGACTTTAATATAAACTGACAAATACTGAAAAATCTAGATGACATATTTAAAAAACCCAAGTTGCAGAATGACTTCTATAGAAGAGAGATTGGGGGGAGGGCGCACTGGGGTAGAGAATGAGAAAGCACTGTTACAGTGATTGATGTATTTATGCACGTTTGAGTAGTTTTCAATCAACTCCTATTTGTGTACTACAGAGGCCCACTCCACCCACTGCCCCAAAGATTACTGTCTCAGGTAGACTACAATGAAGAGTGAGAGACAGGAGAGCGTAAAGAAAACTAACACTTGGATCCAGGAGTTGGTGGCATAGCTTAAATGAAATTTCAAGATCTCAATTATGAAATTATAATTCCATGCTGGTATTCACATAAAGAATTCTATGTCCTATGAATGAAATTTAAAACATCTGAATGATAGAGTAATTCCATACCTGCTATCTACGCAGACTCTCTGGGTACAGAATACAGAAGTAGAATTACAACCCTGTCAATTCTGCAGATGCCAATTGATACTGACCACATGTGAGGCATTTCATACCCTCCCCTCTATGACCTGTCACCTTCCATTTGCTCAGTGCTACTGCATTCAATCAATAGAGGACCTCTGCAAATCACTCTGATTTTAATCATCTGTGTGATTGTAACTAAAGCTTACTAACAGCCACCAGTGAGGAGAGAACAAGTTAACCCGATTTTGTTTTGACTAATTCAAAGGAAAAAAAAACAAAAACAAAAACAAAACCTGGGTAGGGGTAAAATTTGGAAAAGTTTGAGATTGCAAAAGTTAAGCCGGCTCTGAAGAAACCTCTTATTTCCTGTCCTTAGTTCACTATTATTTTCATTCATATTCCATATTCTCGGCCCTTCCCTGGCCTCTTTGTTCCAAAGTCTTGACTTTCTTTTGATTTCTTACAAAGTTATTTTTCATATTGTCATCTTCCCTTTTAGGGCACTTTGCCTAAATTTAACATAGCAGATTCCTTCCCTGCAGATATAACCCACTTTCTGCATATCACCCTGCAACTATGTATGATTCTCTGGCACTCTCCACATGCCACATTCACAGATTCAAATTCTGATTTTATGTATCACATGTTAAATGCAAACTTCTGCCTCATCTGATTGTGAAATTCTGGGATGACTTATTTATCTAATTTTTTTTTTAATTTAAGTGAAAACAGGTTGTCTTTAGATTGATATTGCCAAAGCACATGCCACTGCCTGTGTACTTGAACATCACTCCTAATGAAATTTTCATGAGGTTATTGTCATCTTGCAACAAGGCCCTGCTGATGGTTGGATTACGGTTGTAGAGCCTCAGCCCAAAGCCTCAGCCCAAAGCAGATAAAGGGTTTTGACTGCAAAGTTTAAAACTGATATCAAATATTCACAAGAGCTATATGAAAGTCCAGACACTTTGACTCAATAGTTCCCTTCTTGGGAATTTGTCTGTAAAAAAAAAAAAACAATTCTGGGGCTCCCGGGTGACTCAGTCATTAAGCATCTGCCTTCAGCTCAGGTCATGATCCCAGGGTCCTGGGATCGAGCCCCACATCGGGCTCCCTGCTCAGAGGGAAGCCTGCTTCTCCCTCTCCCACTCCCCCTGCTTGTGTTCCTTCTCTCACTGTCTTGTCTCTCTCTCTCTAATAAATAAAGATTTAAAAATAAATAAAAATAAAAAAATTTAAAAAGACAATTCAAGGGCATCTGGGTGGCTCAGTTGGTTAAGCGTCTGCCTTCAGCTCAGGTCATAATCCCAGAGTCCTGGGATTGAGCCCCACGTCGGGCTCCCTGCTCAGCGGGGAATCTGTTTCTCCTTCTCCCTCTGCCTCTCCCCCCTGCTCATGGGGCTCTTTCTCTCTCTCTCTCTCTCTCAAATAAATAAAATCTTAAAAAAATTCAAAAGAATAAAAAAATCCATCTGTATGAAAATGCTTATCTCAATATTATCTATAAATAATGTGAAACACTGGGACCAATGCTACTATCCAAAAATAAAGAAATGGTTATAAAAACCATGATGAATCAATTCAATGGACTACTGTAAAACCACTTATCAAGAAATCGTTATGAAATGAGACTTACCAAGACTACAGAATAACTTAAAGTTCAGAAGCAAATCATAAATGAAAAAAATGAGAAATCACATTTAAAAAAACACTAGAATTGAATAACAAAAATTAATAATTATGATATGTAAATTTTCTTTAAAAATTTTTAAAATATTGTTTCATTTTTTATTTTATAATAAATAAAACTGGAAGAAAAATGTGTCAGAAAAAAAGCCTGAAAGCTTGAATTTTCCTATTTCTATGTAGAAAATTAAATTATTTTCAAAATCAGCAGGACCACACCATCTAAGACCAAAGGTGGAAACTGCATAGTTCCAAGGTTTGAAACTTGTTTTGAACAGAGGAAGAATACCCAGCAGCTTTAAGGGGGACACCATAACCACAAGAAAAAGAAGTGGCAAAGGAGTTGTTACATTACTAAACCACTTGTTCTTAAAACCAAGATTATGTAAACTGTTCCTGGTTAGCAGTTCAAGTATCAGAAGTCATAAATGTAAGCGCAGTCAGAAAAAGATCCGTCTTCCACTAGAGGATTCGTTCAGCTGCAAGAGTTAACGTTTTCCCAGTCCCTTAATTAAGAGGAATTGGGTGTTAATGTCAGAGCCCACTGACTTTTCAGAGGGGAAAACTATATATCATCCCCGCCCCCCAGGAGGCGCACTGCTCTCCCTCCTTGCACTATTGTGAGACTCATATCAGAAGCTATGAAATGTACAGATAGCACCCTTTCTGGAGAAATAATGTCTCCTCTGTACAATTCATCCTCATAAACCCTCCACCCCGTCTTAAAAAGGCCTTTCTTATGATTAAACTACAAAAAAATGTTGTTGAAAAAATCAAACAAACAAATCCAATGTGGTCCATGTTCCAAAATTAAACTATACACATCATGGATCTGATCTATTTTCTTCATTTTGTGATTAACTGTTTAAATGGCTTCTGACTTCATTAAACAATCTGGAAACAGTAAGAACTTTTTCCCAAAGAAATTAGCTGTCAAATTATTCCTCCACTAATGTGTTTGTTTTCTGATGCTAGTGCTGAAATGCCAAGGCACTCTGACAGATAACTGTTTGAAAATTTGGGCTCAGAGCTTTTAAATAGCATGAGATATTGGTTTTGGAAGCAGCTGTTAGACAGAAGGGCAGGACCAGGGGGAAGGGGGATGTGGTAATGGAGGTGCCGGTAACAGTTCTGGGCCTCCTTTCTGATAGCGTCGTGTTAATGTTGCCAAAAGGGTTCCCAGCATTTGTACAACAGTAATGAGGCTGGATTTTTTTTTCCAAAAGAAAAAAAAAAACCTTCATTTCTGTGTAAATCAAGAATTATGCATTAGAATGAAATGAAGAAAAATATAAATTAGAAAAAAGTAGAAATGATAATCTAAAAGTACATTATCAAACATTAAATTTTCTAACTGGGACGGGCCCTTCAAATTTCACCTCAAAGGCAAAAGATAAAGAAATTCTCTGTTATGTTTATGTATTTACTTGGGTCTCAATCTCTTAATCTAAAATTGCACTGTCCAATATGGTAGCCACTGGCCAAATGTGGCTGTCGGGCCCTAGTCCAAACTGACTTGCACTATCTGTGTAAGACACACATGAGGTTTCAAGGATTTACTGGGGAAAAAAGAGTATAAAATATCTCATTACTATTTTTCATATTAAAATTTTACTTTATATATACCAGATTAAATAAAACATTATTAAAATTAATTTGACCTGTTTCTTGTTACTTTTCCTAATACGGCTACTAGAAAATTTAGATTTCATATAGGGTTCATATTTGTGTCTCCCATTACATTTCCACTGGACAATACCAGTATTTAATTAAAATGAATCGGAATGAATTTAATTCCTTCAAAATCCCTTCTAGCTCCAGAGTTCTGACACTAAGAGACTGCGGGCTCAAGCTGGTAAGTTTCAAATACGAAGTTATTCTGGAGAAACTTAGGTTCAGTCACTATTTCATTATTTCTCCATACTTTTCACTCATGCTCTCCAATGCTTCTTTATTCTGTTTCCTACGGATCCCTAATAGCCAAGAAAAATGAATGTGTCAATTTATTCACTTATAAACTACAAGTATGAAGTTCATAAGGTCATTCTGAATTGTCAGCTGGTCATATATCTTTTTGCTTCACACCATACTGATGCCCATTTTTAATGACATGTAATGGATAATGAACTCTGAGGGTTTTTTTTTTTCAGTTTTAATATTCATAAAATAGGAGTTTTGGAATTAGAGAAGCTTAGAGGTGCTATTCCAGTGGTTCCCAAATGTGCTGCCACCTCTGAGTCACATGTGAAAAATACTGATTCCTAGGCCTGATATTGGGAGATTCTTACCCAGCAGAGTCTGGGATAAGACAAGATCCTATGCTTCTTAAGAAGCTATCCAGGTCATTCAGAGGGTCAGCCTGGTTTGGGAATCAGTGGTCTAGCCTAACTTACTTCATCTGTAACTGGGATAAAATGAATTGTCCTAGAACCTAAGGACAGGGGCCTTAGACCTAGAACTAGGATGCAGAGCTCCAAAGCCGGTTCGCTGTCCTTACTGACACACATTCTGTCAAACACACACACTACTCACTCCTCAAGAGCTCCAGCCATCAGTATATCTTCCTTGTCAGTCTTGACATCCAATTCTGGTTCTCCACTAAGCAAAAGCTTCAAGTTATAAACAACCAGCAAAGTACCTAGTAGAAAAAAAGGACGTTTGACTTGTCAATACTTTAACTACACTAAATATTAGTCATGGTGCTATTATCTCATCTGTGGAATTAAGCCTACTCTAGACCAAATTTCCTTCTGTACTTCAGTAAATAATGTGCTTGGATAAGTTCCAAGATATAAGTCTCAGGGCAAATTCTACTCTCTGCCAAAGAGTTTTGAGTTTCTACATTACAGTGCTTATTCCTATTCAATTCATTATAAGTCTCTCAATGTGGATTCTTACACTTTGGCACATTTTCACAATTTGCTTTATGAAAATTGTTAGGAGTCTGAGCTAAATTTCTATTGTGGGTAAAGGTCTCATTAATGGAATCAATGCACAAAAGAACAAAGATGAGTTTTAAAAATTTGTACGAATATGAAGCATTGTTTTTAGACCCCATAATAGGTGTTGGCAGACTTTTTCTGTAAAGGGCCAGGTAACAAACATTTCAGGCTTTGCAGGCCAAATGGTCTCTGTCACGTTTACTCACAACTCACCTCCATCATTGTAGCATGAAAGCTGCCACAGAGAATACATAAATGAATGAGTGTGGCTGTATTCCAATAAAACTTTATTTACAAAAACAAGTATGGCTGGGTTTGACCTGCAGGCCACATTTGCTGACCCCTGCTCTAAAGCATAGCTAACAAAATAATCCAAATTCTTTACAAAACTGAGTATGGTACAAAGACAAACAGGATTGTCAGAGAAATTAAAAGAACAACCAATTACACCTCTCTTGGTAGTACTAAAACTCAAGAGAGAACAAACAGCACGGTGACTAAGAATGCCTATATCTAAATCCTGCATCAACCATTTATGGGTTGCAATGACCTTGGATAAATTTCCTAACCTCTTTGAACCTAATGTTTTCTAATCTCCACAATGGAGCACATGAATTATTTTGAGAATTAAATGTGTTAATTTTTATAAAGCACTTAGAAAAGTATTCAAGAAACAGTACACCCTTCTTTAGTATTTACATGAGCATTTCACAGTTAAAAGTCAACTAACAAATTAACGTTAGCTGTCCTTAAAGTATGTCACGCATAGGGGCGCCTGGGTAGCTCAGTCGGTTGAGCATCTAACGCTTAATTTCGGTTCAGGTCATGATCGCAGGTTGTGAGATGGAGCCCCAGATCAGGTTCTACACTGAGCATACAACCTGCCTAAGATTCTCTCTCTCCCTCTCCTTCTGCCCCTCCCCCACAGTTTGCACATAATCTCTTTCTAAAAATAAAAAAAGGTATATCATGTACACATTAATAAGACTAATATTTATTGAATTGCCACTAGTTTTCTTCTAAAAGAAAAGGGAAAGGATGACAAAAAATCATTTTTAAACAAAATGTCACAAATTAGAGAAGAAATTTTGAAGGTAATACAAGCCAAGTCAGAAACAAATTTCTCAGAATTTCACTAAAACACTACGTAAAACAAGGAGTTGCAAAAAGGAAAATGCACATAGCTTTCTCTAGAGTAGGATTCTTCTTGTTTCTAGATATGGAAGGTGGACCTCTGGAGAAAGATTGGCACCGGAAAATGTTAGTGGACACGGTGCATTCTACCTGTTGAGTAGAAAGCCGGTGCAGGTTGAAAGAATACAGAAATAAAGAACATACAGAAAGATCTGTTAATGTGGAAAATGTCCACAAAGCTTTTGCGAACTCTTTGCCTCGGAAACCTGGATTCACTGGCTTATAAACTGCTGTCTTACATACATAAGATCATCTAATCATAGACACTGCAGTAAACATCTCCTAACTCTGCTGCGTAGTACAGGAATTATGGATTCCCTATGGTCACAGACTATGTCCTCCTCTCTGCATCCAGTCTTCACCAAGCTCGTGCAAGTACAAGTCTTTCTCCCAGTATCAGGGACTTAGAGCTATTCGTGTTTGGATTCACTTAAGACAAAATTCATGTGGATATAATGAATAACTGCCCCCATGTGAGATCCTGCATGGTATCATAAATAGAAAAAAATCTAAAAGCGTATGTAAAGTATCTTTTGAAAGACACTAAAAACCAATACTTCTAACAAAACTTCAGAGATTTGATGATCTTACCACATTTCCCATAGATCAGATCAAACTGCTGCATCAGTTCGGCTTCATTTCTAAATGGAGAGTACTTAAAAATTATAGACAATTCTGTTGAGAATTTTTGAGGATCATCTGTGACAGATTTTCTGGTTCTTGTTAACCATGAAGGTATTGGAACAACAACCTATTAAAAAAACACACACATCAATTTACTATGAAGTACACAAATAAAAACCATCATCCTTTCATCTGATCCTAATTCAGACCATTCTTCATCTAGCCAAATTACAAAACACAAAGTCAAAAGTTTATTTCCCCCTGTATTCTAGTTTTATAAGAAAAAGACACAAAACAATTATGTATACTCAGCGTTTTATATTAAAATGCTCCATTGTCGAATGTGGGGATAGATGGAATCTACTTCAGCCCCTAATGAAATATGGGTAGGACGGCAGAAGGAACAACAGTATCAGCACTTTAGAAGTTGAACAGTACATGACAGCAAATCCAGGAACACCAATCTGAGGCCCATGCCGGAAGAGAAAACCAGCCTGTTTACAATTTGGAATACGCTAAAAGGCTCAGAGATTGATGGCATGAGTTCACTCTGGGGGTGGGATAAAGGGGGAAGTGAAATAGAAGTAGCATCCAGATCCCCATCTGGCACCAGCTCCCCCACCTCCACAGAGACTGGATGCTTATTCTCTGGAAAGAGTACAACAAAGCATTTCTGGATTAGAGGATATGTCAGGCATAGTTGTCAGGGGGACCTGACAGTTGTCAGAGGGATTAAGGTACACATACTGGATGCTGAGAACCCAGATCTCTTCTCTCATTTGGGTCCCAGAAAGCTGTCAGCTAGGCCTTCAGGCAGAAGACTGTAGGAGTCTTCTCTGAGAAACTGGACTAGCCCAGAAGGAAAGACATAAAGAAAATTACATTGAGGGTTTCCCAATAATCAGCTCAGCTAGGGCTCACTATTGTGACACTCATAGCTGCAAACTCCCCACCCCCAACCCCATCCTTTCAGAGTTTTCGATCGAAATTGTATCGGAATACTCTATTTAAAGTATTCAGGATTGACAGCCATCAGAGAAAAGCCTCTAATATGATAAATACAGACCAAATAAACAAGCACAAACAAAGCAACTCACTGGAAACAAAAACCATACAAGGAAGATGAAAATTTCAGGAGAACAGAAAAGTCAATCATTGTTAATATCTTCAGAGAGCTAAAAGGAAATATTGTATCCATGAAACAGAACTATATGTCTTTAAAAAAGAATACTGAAAGAATTTAACACACTTCTTGGAAATGAAGAATATGACTACAGAAAAATATTTATGAAAGGGTTGGAAGAATAAATGTTAGAAAATCTCCCAGAAAATAAAACACAGAAAATTGGAGAGAAAAGACAAGAAAATTTAAGAACCAGTTCCAGGTGTCCAAGATCTAAGAACAGAAGTTGCAAAAAGAGAGAAAAGAAAATACGAATGAAAGAAAATCATAAATATTACAAAAAAACGTTCCCAACCTGAAGAACGTGTATTTCCAGACTGAAAATGTCCAATAAGCAACCAGCACAATGGATGCAAACAGACCCACCCAAAAGCAAAATACTTACATCAGAACATTGAAGACAAAGAAGATTCTACTGCTTCAAAGAGTAGAAGGGGGGAAAAAAAGAGTAAGTCACACACAAGACTCAGAAATTAAAATGGCTTCAGACTTCTCAATGACAATGCTAGAAATAAGAAGATAATGAAGCAATGGCTTCCAATTCCTGAAAGAAAATTCACTCCAACCCACAAATAACACCAAGCTAAACTATCACTGAGTGTTCAGGTAGGATAAAAATATTTTCATGCATGTGAAGTCTCAAAATACTTGACTTCTCATTCATCCTTATTAAGAAAGCTAACAGAAGACATGTTGGCCAAGGCAGGTCCTGGGAGCACAGCAGAACACCAGCCGTGGACAGCAGGAGTGAGGGGCAGCAAGAAGACTCCAGGGCAGAGTCTTCAGGAAGATGGGACAGAGAAGAATGTAGCAGGAGACTGGGGTTACCATAGTGATTAAGACAGAAAACCAAGCAAATACTCAGGACAGTGCTAAGTACATAGAACACTAAGGAGACAATTACTAATTCCAGGGAAAAGAAAAAATTATGCAGAAAAAGGAAAAAATGAGTTTATGACAGGATACAGTGTGAATAGTGTTTATATAGTCTTACAACGTAAATACTGAACATTAGCATAACTAAAAAGACAATGGAGCTACCTTGAGGGTGGAGAATTGGAAAGGTATGTATGTGTGATACAAACAGATGAGATAATAATATATAAATCCTTTTATAACAAGCAATTAATACATAATACATCAAATCAAGAAGTAGTAGTACAAGTATGTTATATAGAGATATGCAGGAAAATAGTGAAAAAAATCAGCTAATATTGTTGAAAGAGATTGCCTGGGTCGAAGTAGAAATGGGAGGGGGTTGCTGGTTTTAGTTTTTTGTGTTTTTAAAAAAAAAAAAAAAAAGAAATGGCCCATGTTAGTTAGGAAAGCTATAACCTCAGCTTTGGCCCAATTTTCCATGCCTTTACATACATAAATGGCAACATAAATGCTTAAAGCATTGCTTTTCTTTCTAACGGTCTCCCACTCAGCTACTCCCTATTGCCTACAGACTTGTTGCTTAGCCGGCCCCACCCCACTGTGGCCGGTGGGCATGCTGCACCCTTGGGGGACGGCCTCACATCCCCCCTGTCCTTCCAACCCCATACTCCTGTCCAGGTCTGAGAGTTGCTGCGTACCACTTCTCTCCACATACCAGCCTTTACAGCTGCAAGTGGTACTCACTGCATAAAACCCTCATCGACCAATCGAGGCTCTCTAATCTCTCCATCCATACCATTGCTTTTGACAATTTTGTAACAGCAGAAATGCATACTCACAACAGCATTCTTTTTAAACACCCTCATTTTGTTATGTATCCAATTCACAGGTGTTTGCCTATATTTCATGACCCCTTTGATGGTCAGATGATCTTCTGCTGGTTTTCTACCTTCCACAGGGTCTAACCAGTGCTGGGTCGTTCCTTAACCTGCATCTACTGTGTTGAATTACACTGACATTGTGAATAGTAAAACTCAGACACTGCAAATTAATAAAGCGTAGCTAGGTCATCAAATGGAGTTGAAATTATGGTTACTGGGGTTACAGTTTTAAATCTATTTTGCACTCAGTTTCTTTAGATTTTGTATTCCAAGTCTTTTAATCCAATATTTATTTTTAAAATGATAATCCATTTATGGCACAAATGGTGGAAATGTTTTGCAGGCTCCTTCCAAAAAGGTCACTGTGCCAAAGGGAGCCTCTTATTCTGGGAGATTCGGGTACATGGATAATGAAAATAACATTCTGAAAACTGCCTTGAGTTAATAACCCACTCAAGAATGGTCAACAGCGGGGCACCTGGGTGGCTCAGTTGGTTACACACCTGATTTGGCTCAGGTCATGATCCCAGGGTCCTAGGATCGAGTCCTGCGTCGGGGTCCCTGCTCAGCGAGGAGCCTGCTTCTCCCTCTTCCTCTGCCCCTCTCACCCGCACTTATGCTCACATTCGCTCTCTCTCTCAAATAAATAAATAAAATCTATTAAAAAAAAATGCTACCCAAGAAAAATAAGTGGCCACAGATTCTTAAAAAAAAAAAAATTGGTCAACAGGACATGCCTCCAATGACCCCCCCAGAATGTCCAGCCACCCTCTCTCCACTTCCCAAATACATTCCTAAATTTCTAAATCATAATCAGAAAAGAACTGTTACAGACTTCACCTCCTGAGATGGTAAATGAAAACAACACTGTTACCATGGAAACCAAAGGAAAATCTCAACTCTTACCTCAGTAAGACCTTCTCTTTCACAGAATGTCTGAGAAAAAAACACACAGGTCATCGTTTCTTCCTTCTTTGTAAAAAGAATAAAGTCTTTCCCAATCCTCATGGATCCACTGTATTAAAAAACAAGAACATACTGGTTTACCTCTCAAACACTGAAAAGAAAAAACAGGCGGGCACGAAACTGTGCACTGTAATGAATTGTTCTTTCATAGAAGTAACTCCCCTGTTTTGCTGACCCATCACCAAAAGGGTGAAAATATTATTTTTTTTCTCAAAGTAGAGCAGATGGATTTGAACCAATCCAGCACCACACCCTTGTTTGAGACAGGACAGCTAGAAATAAGGGGTTGTCCAGGACTCAAAAAAGAACAATCATCTGTCCGTAGCAGGTGTCACACAGGTGACGATATACCCTTGAACTCACCTTACACTGAGGCAGGCTAATAAAATAAGCTGTGGACACATAATTACACCTGCACTAACCTATGCTCTGAAAAACAAGAGAAACATAGAGATTCAAGGAAGCTCTGAAGTACAGGGCTTCTGCTTCCTGAGAGACGATTCATCCCCTATGTGAGAATTAAATTTACAAATGTTGTAAAGATTCAAGTCAGTTATCGGTATGGAAATCCCAAAACAAGGCAGGACTCTCCAGTTTATATATATGTTTTGAGCTTTACAAACCTGATCATTCTGTATAAGATTGCCTTTAAATAAATATTGTTCCCAGTATCAATAATACATGCCTTAAAGGAAAAAAAAAATTCTCACCTTTTAAGACCATTACCATATTGCCCAATAAACTTCAAGGTTGATGACCGTTTCTTGGATGTTCCAAAGTAAATGATATCTGAAGCTTCCTCTATAATTGACAAAGACATATAGGTGGTTAGAAATTATGAATCTTTGGGTGCCTGGGTGGCTCAGTGGGTTAAGCAACTGCCTTCGGCTCAGGTCATGATCCTGGAGTCCCGGGATTGAGTCCCGCATCGGGCTCCCTGCTCAGCGGGGAGTCTGCTTCTCCTTCTGACCCTACCCCCTCATGTGCTCTCTCTCTCTCTTTCTCTCTCAAATAAATAAATAAAATCTTTAAAAAAAAGAAATTATGAATCATTGACACTGGCCACAGGTCCAGTTGCCAGGATGTCACACATATCTCAGGACATTAGGGCAAATCCATACCTCTTGGGTCAGCCCAGTGACAAGGATTCTTGTCAGGCTCCATGATCTCTGACCAGGATCTTAACTGTAATATACTGAAGGAGGTCAGACAAACCTAGCCATCTGACCTTGGGCAAACAGAGTTTAAACTCTGAGTCTTAATTTCCTCGTCTCTAAAAGGGAACTACTAAGACCTAGATCACAGGGTTGTTGATGAAGACAAATACACTAAAGGAGATCATCTGTTTGTGAAACCCTGAACACAGTACATGCCACTTGATCAATGCCAATAAATTATACGTGTTATAATTATCTGTACCACTAGTCATTTTCCATGAATTTGGCCCTTAGCCAGCTCCATGGAAGACCAAGCAGGGCAGAATGGCTTCAGGTCTGACACTCCCTGGGGAAGAAGGGCCACTTGTTCTAGACTCTCAGAGTCATTCTCCAGATCTCTCCAGGGCATTCTGAAATTCTAGAGAAGAATCACCTGAACTTCAAAATATACATACCCCCAGAAACCAGAATGCTCCTAGGGACAAAAGGAAAGATAGAAATGGGTCTCCCAGTTGGCCTACCTGAATGCGTGCTCTGGAACTCTGGAAACCAGTGTCAGTCTGTGTGCAGACTTGCACACCTGGTGTGTGGTGTGTAAGGGCTACCAGACACTCTGCTTATCTGAAGCCAACTGGACATTCTATCGCATGTTCTTATAAAAGGCTGGGTATTAGGTGAGGGTATCCATAATAACAACATTAGCCACCATTTACTGTTTAGTATATGCTAGGGACTATATCATATACTTTACATGCACTGCCTAGTCAATATTTATAACAAACCTACATAGTAGATATTATGATGATGATCTCCATGTTATGGATGAGGAAATTTAAGTTCAAAGAGTGTATGTAACGTGCCCAAGGTGAAACAGCCTATGAATGCTACTGTAAGCATAACAATCCAAAGTTGTCAGAGACCATATTCTGTGGTTTTCAAAGCACACCTCACAGACTCCCATGTATGGTGGCCGGAGCTCTGGGGACAGGTATAGCCCAAGGTGAAACAGCCTATGAATGCTACTGTAAGCATAACAATCCAAAGTTGTCAGAGACCATATTCCATGGTTTTCAAAGCACACCTCACAGACGCCCACGTATGGTGGCCGGAGTTCTGGGGACAGGTATAGAACACTGACATGACCCCTGCCCATAACAATTTATGTCATGGTAGGAAAAACAGACTAGAAACAAATAAACAAAATAATTTCTAAAAGCATTAAGTGAAGAAAATAAAACCAGGATAATGTGATAGAGAATTAACAGGAGTGTGGCCCTCAGACAGAATGATCAGGGAAGGCCTCTTTCATAAGATGACATCTGAGATGAGCTTCAAATGAAGGGCCAGCGGGTATGGCTGGAGTGTTATAAGCAAGGGAGTAAGTGCCATGAGAAACAGCCAAAGAGGTGGACAAAGGCCAAATAATGCAAGAAACTGGAAGCATTACTGGGAGTATAAATTATATCCCAAAGTACAGAAAAACCACTAAGGGCTTTTAAAAAAGGGGAAGGATATGACGTGATTTATATTATAGATATCTTTTTTTAAAAGATTTTATTTATTTATTTGACAGAGAGAGAGAGGGAGCAGCAGAGGGAGAAAGAGAAGCAGGCTCCCCACTTAGCAGGGAGGCCAACGCGGGGTTCGATCCCAGGACCCTGGGATCATGACCTGAGCCGAAGGCAGACGCTTAACCAGCTGAGCCACCCAGGTGTCCCAATTTCCAACCGATGTTAACAGGAATTGCTCTCTCAATACTAGTAGGCTTTTAAAAATAGTCCTGTATATGTCGGGGCACCTGGGTGGCACCCCACATCAGGCTCCATGCTCAGCGGGAAGCCTGCTTCTCCCTCTCCCACTCCTCCTGCTTGTGTTCCCTCTCTCACTTTCTCTCTGTCAAATAAATAAATAAAATCTTAAAAAAAAAAAAAATAGTCCTGTATATGTCAACTGATGTATGAGTTCCTTCTGAAGATTTGAATATTTGCCACTTTTTTGTGTTTTCGTCATTTTGCTTATGGCTGTATTATAAAAGGAGTTGCTTCTTTTTCTTTTTTTCTTTAAGGAAATGCCTTAGGATATATCAGATATTCTGTTATTTAAACATTCAGGAAAATGAACTAAACAGTCAGCCTAGAAGTGAAAAACAAAACTTTTTTCATCATAATTTTCTCACAAACTGTCTTCTTTCTCTTATTTAAACACTAAGGAACCAAAAAAAAACCAAACAAACAAAAATAAATAAATAAATAAATAAACAAACAAACAAACACTAAGGAACCAACAATACTTAGAGTCACAATCACCTGGAAAAATCAAAATTATCCTGACAAAGTCAGAACAAGACCTGAGTAAGAGATTTCAGCATTTTCTAAATTTGCTAATAATCTCTGACTATTCATACCAAGGGAGCACTTCAGAGACTAGCAAGAAGATAACTGCTTTACTTTGTATTCTGAGCTTCCAGCAGTGATGAGCATCTTTTCCGCTGGTATAGAATAGACCAGAACTGTTCCCTATTACTTGAACTCCCCTCACGACTTTTTTAACCTAGTGGTCAAAAATCCTGTTTTGTGGGTCATAGACAAGTGTTAAAAAGAATTCAGGTATAAGCTATCCCAAATGAGTCAAAGCCCTTATCAGAGGGAATAACATTTCAATTTCACGGGATGCCTACATGGCTCAGTTGGCTCAGGTCATGATCCCAGAGTCCTGGGATCGAGTCCCACACCGGGCTCCCTACTCAGCGGGGAGCCTGCTTCTCCCTCTGCCTGCCGCTCCCCCTGCTTATGCTCGCTCTCTCTCTCTCCCCCTCTTTCTCTCTGACAAATAAACAATAAAATCTTCAAAAAAAAAATCAATTTCACAGTACACTGGTATTGTGCACCTACTGTGTGTTGTGTTTTGGCTAGCCTTGAAGGTACCAAAAAAAAAAAAAAAATCATGCAATGAATTGTAGATGTGTTCATTATGGTGAGAATAGCTGACTGAAGCTACTAAACCTTTGAACATGCTGAGAAAAACCAAACCGCTAAAAACAAGGAGAGGTAACCTCTTCCTCAAGGTTAAGCAGAAAATTAAAAATAGCCTGAAGGCACTGGAAACTGCCTCAGGCCTCTTGCAAGCAATACCTGAAGGGGAGGCTCAAACAATCTCAAAATCCACCCAGTTACCACACCTTTTCCATTCATTCCCAGATGTTTTTTCTCACAAGTAATCATACCTTCTTCTTTTCATCTTTCTTGCAATATTTATCTGCATTCCCTTTTGGTCTTGGCTTAGATGATTACAATGAATTTACTCTGTCAGCTGGAATATTCAAATCCAGAAAGTTCAACAATATGTTAAGTCTGGAGTTTATTTTCCCTTAATAGCTCCATACTTGTTTTTGCATAGATAGCTCAATTTATTTTTATTTATTTTATCGGTTTTCTGACTGTTTCCCAGAACAGCCAGTTAGGTATCTGGATAATTAACTTACCAGGGCTCATACCACATCCATCATCCAGGAAGCACAACATGAATCCACCCTGCAGGTTTTCATTATCCACTGTAAGAGAAAGCAGTTATTACTGATAAATATTGGCCAATGTGTCCATTGGAAAGTCACACTGCTTACGTAATTATCTGTCCTCAAAGGCAGCCGCGGAGTGACAGAGTTAGGGCACAATAATGGCACCCAGAAAGGTGTCCTCGCTACAGTTTCTCAGGACACTGCAGGAGGAAGACAGTCATGCACCAAGAAGGCTTTAAATTAACATAAAACCTCTACACATTAATAAATTACGTACACAGAGGGGCATGCCCTGCTCCTGGAATTTGACTGGCCTGTAAACTTCAGGTATTTCCACCCTGGGGGCAGGAATAAAGGGAGATGGTGATGTGACCCCAGAATCCCTCTCTCCCACTGACCCACCTTTACGCCCTTCCACCAAAGCACTAATTCTAAAGCCAATCCAGGCCATTCTTACTAAATTCCTCAGGCTCTCCTCTAAGTAGTTAATTCCCGTAAGAGCCATTTGTGTGTGCTTCCTAGTGGCAGCAAATATGTGCCTCTTGAAAATACATTTGATTTTTGAAAATGGCTAAGTTATTTGGAATCAATTTTGGTGATTAAGCGATATCATTAAGATAACAGAAAATAATCTCTTGTTTAAAAAAAATGGAAAGGTGTAACTAAAACTAATGAGACTAATTTTAACGCTTAGTTTGTGATCTGGCTCTGAGAGGAATTGCAACATTTGGATCTATGACTTCTACCACCTCTCCCTCTCTCTCTCTCTTTTTTTTTTTGATAATAGCTTGAGAAATAGCTTACACAAACAAACTGCCTATGTGTAAAGTGTACAATGGGATGAACTGTGGCATATGTACATACCCACGAAATCACCATCACAATCAAGGCAGTGAACACACGCATCACCTCAGACATTTCCTCAGGTCACTCCACAGTCTCTCCCTTCTGCCCCTTCCATGCCCATCCCCTTACCCCAACCTCAGGCAGCCACGGATTTGCTAACTCTGTACCTATAATTCAGTTGTAGCACATTCATTAAGTCAACTGTGTTCAACGGTCACCCCTAATCTACATTTTAAAAGTTAAGTAATGTTCAAGATAATCTATAAATACATATCTAAAATACGTACCTAAGCTTTCCGGGTTCATAATTTTATGGTCACATGCCCACTTCTAATCCCCTACCACCCCCACTAATTCCCTCCCTGTCTATAAGCACTTTGGATCTTCCCTACCATTTCATTTTCCCAGTTCTTCTCTCTGCCTGGTCATCCGGAGTGCTTACCTCAACTCCTGTATCAGAATATTCCTCCCCCATTGTAGGTCTTTGCTCTGTGCAACCCCCACCTCTGGCAGAGGATGACATTCTCCGCTATTCAACAAGGGGAAACCAACTCTTGTGGAGTTCTTTGCACAGTGTGGTAGTTCTCAACCGTGGCTGAACATTTTAACTGCACAGAGATACTCCAAATTAACTGGTCTTGGGTGAGGCTCAGGAATAAACATCCCCTCCAATTATCCTACTGTGTATCAGCACTGGGAACCACCTGATCCAAGCCTCAGGTGGCTCTGCATAGATGCAACAATTGATTTTGCAGCTCGTGGAATAAAGTTCTCATGCAAGGAGCTTGCAGAAAGAAGGGCATTTCTTTGGTGAATAGGTGGGAAAGACTCAAAATTCTCAAGAGACGTATACAGTGCTTACTTTTTCTATAAACTCTAGTGAGGGACTACAGACGATCATAGCCTCGAAATGTAATATTCCCCTACTGTCTACCCTGAAGCTTGGCCTTGTTTATTTCAATTCCTTAAAACTAAGGATTCCAGATAAATTTCTATTACCTGTTAAATATGCATGTCCAAAACAAACCCCAGCACCTTCTCCCTCATCAGACTTACTTCTGATGTTTCCTGTTCAATAAATGGCCATCACTCTGCCATTAGGCTTCAGCTGCCCCAGTCAAAACCTCAGGATTGCCATATGCCTTCTCAATTCCGCCTCCTTAATGCCTCTCAAGTTTGACCACTTTCACTACCACCAAGACACTGCCTTAGCTCAGGAAACCATCATCTCTCTTGACGATTACAGCAACAGCGGCCTCACTCCTTGCTCCCACTAAGAGCAGAGTGCCGACCAATGTGCATTTCACAATAATTTTATGTGTCAACTTGGTTAAGCTCTGGTACCCAGCTGTTCAGTCAAACATTAGTCTAGACGTTGCTCTGAAAACATTTGTGGATATTATTAACATTTACAATCCTTTGACTTTAAGTAAAGCAAAAAACTTCCATAGTGTGTATGAGCCTCATCCAATCAGTTGAAGGCCTTCAAGGCAAAGACTGAGGTTCCCCAAAGAAGCAATTTTCTGCATCAAGACTGCAACTCAGAAGTTGCTCTTGAGTTTCCAGGCTGCTGGCCTACCCTAAAGATTTAGAACTTGAGACTGCAACATCAACTCTTAGTTGGATTTCCAACTAAGCTGGATAAGTAAGTAGGGCCAGCTGCCCTACAGATTTCAACTGCATCAGCCCCCACAATCACGTGAGCCAATTCCTTAAAATCCCTCCCTCTCACTCTCCCCAAACATTCTATCAATATCTATAGATGTAGACAGATACAGATACGTATCAATATAGAAATACACATACACATAGAAATACACATAGCTAGAGTGGAGGGAGGGAGGCAGATCATATCTGTCCATCTATCTGTCTGTCTACCTCTCTGTCCATTTAGCTATCTCCTACTGATTCTGTTTCTCTGAAGAACCCTGATGAATACACTCTCCAAGCTCACCTCTTGTCACTCCCTCCCCACACCCATACTGCAACCTTCCATTTCCATGCAAATATTCCCTTTAACTAATCTTGAGCATCTCAAACATTTTTGCAACTCCATCGGTGTTCTACGTTTTCTCCATATTCAAGGCCCTGCCTATACTGCCCCTTTTCGCTCTCCACCCCTGATTCACCAGGCAGAAGCCTATTTCCCCTTTAGGTCTTTAGATCCAGTAAGGTTCCTTCTTGGACACCTTCCTCATTCCTACACATCATCGGGCGCCCACAACGTACATTTTCTTTGCAGTTTGTGCTTCCCACCTGTTCGTGTATCTCTTTCCCTTTCAAACTAGTGGCTCTTGCTTTTTAAAACACAGTTGCCTCAGAGGTATGGTGAAAGCTAAGGGCCCTCCTCCCATGAAAGTGAGGATATACACCGTATTTTCTACAGAACCCCGCACTAGGATGCCAATTTCTTAAGAGCAGGCACTGTGTGTACTTAACACTTAACCCAGTCTCTGCCACTTGGTAAGCACTTAAAAAAAAAAAAAGAAAGCATTGAATGCAAATCCATGTTTACTAGAACCAATACATATGAACAGATAAAACAAAAATGGCCAAACGTGTTTAGTTTGAATTTTATAGTCCTCCCTCAAGTTACCTGGAGAAAACTTAAGATTGGAAAGTAATTCAGGGGCCTCAGTAAATAATTTGAAAACTATTTATTTTTATTTATCCCCATATCAATTCTATCTATTGCTGCATAAGCCTGACCCTGGCTTATTATTTTTTTAAGAAAAATCAATTTGCTAAGTTGATAGCCATATTGTGATTTGCTGCAATAAAACAATTTATAACATGAATAGGTACTTTTTTTATGAATAGGTAATTTAAAACCAAAAATCTTAAGTTTAGTTTTTCACAAAACACATAACCTAAATAAAGAAAGAAGTGCCATTTTGAAGTCAAATGGCAAAGACTCTGTGTGTGTGTGTGTGTGTGTGTGTGTGTGTGTGTGTGTGTGTATGCCAATTGCTAGAAAAAGTTGGGGAAATGAGTACTACCATGCCCTGCTGGTGTCCTGCCATAAACCCAAAAGAACATAACAAGTGAATTCCAATGACATTTGTTGTACTTTGTGATTTTGGATAATTCTTCTTAACCCGTTGACCCTTCATCAATAATATGTGTACTCTGGGGGCACCTGGGTGGCTCAGTCGGTTAAGTGTCTGCCTTCAGCTCAGGTCATGATCCCAGGTCCTGGGATCGAGCCCAAGTCAGGCTCCCTGCTCAGCGGGGAGTCTGCTTCTCCCTCTCCCTCTGCCCCTTCCTTCCCCCCGACACCATGCTCGCTCTCTCATGCACTCTCTCTCTCACACATAAATAAATAAAATCTTTGAAAATAGATATATACATGCTCTGAATGAAATGCAACTTAAATCATTTCCCCTTCTCCATTTCTAGGACCACTGCCCTAGTTCAAATTCTCACTAAATCTTCCATAGGTCATTTCCACAGCCCCACACTCCTGCTATCCCTTCGTTCACACTTCTACAGACCATCCTACATGCTATGGCTGGAGAAGCTTTCTTTGAAAAGGGCACATTTCTAATTTGCCAAATGATATTCTCAAAATTCTTCAATGGTCACTGTCTATAGAAAAAAATCTTAGCATGGCATTGAAGGTGTTCATCTATTTGGCTCTAACAATTAGCTTTAGTCAACCTAGCCTACTCATTGTTCTCTGACTGCTTTTTCTCCAAATATCTACACAGCTCGCTCCCTCACCTCACTCAGGTCTTTGACGGTACATGACCTGGTTAGAGAAACTCTCCCTGCTCACCTCATGAAAAATAGTACACCCTGCCAATCACTCTCTGTTCTCTTTTCCCATTTTCTTTTTCCTTTTAGCACTTTTCATTGCTTGGTGTATCATTTGTTCACTTCCTTATTGTCTTTCTCTCCCCCATGAGAATGCACATTCCTGAGAACACATATTTAGTCACACATATTGCCCCATACTCTATCCCTAGCACCTGGAGTAACTATTTTGTTCATTCATGACAGACACTCAATAAACTGTTATTGAATAAATGAATCTCTGAAATTATCTACCCCCATCCTCTTTCTCACAATAATTCCTCAGACAGGGATATTCTTTTTTTTTTTAACACTACTTGACAAAAACCACATCTATATTTTAGGCCCTAGCTCTTTAACATGAGGTATTCTTTCTCTGTGTTCCTACCATATTTTGAGTCTCTCCTGAGCAAGAAACACTTATTCTATTTTACACTATCTGATGGGATATGTAAGGGAAGACCCCTCTTTCTCCACTACTGGTATTTCCTTCCATGTGGAATGGAGTGCCATTAATATTAGTAAAGGGGCCCTTCTCTGTCCCTTGACTCACTTATCACTCATCTGACTGGTAATCTAGGGAAGAATCACCTAGGGAGGCTCAGTTCAGAGCTCTCCTGTTCCCCCCTGGGAGTGAGCTGCCTGCAGGGTGCATGAGCTCTGCTCCGCTCGCCCCAAGCAGACCAGTGTTGAGGGGAAGCCTGACTCCACAGGTTGGGCAAGTATCTGATTCTGGGGTATGATCAGCAAATCCACTGGATTTCTCACACTAAGCTCCATTTTTGGACAAATGGAGCTAGCATTTTTGAATGAATAATAAAGACTGACCCTCTTGACCTTCTCAAACTTTTCAGAACCCGAAGAGTAGAAAGGGAAGAACATTCATTTATTATGTTTTCTCAGATGTCTCGAGATGTCCATGTCTCTCTGCCTTATGAACCAGAAGCACCCACCTAACACAGGATCTTTTTTCTTTTTCTTTTTTTTTTCTTTTTAAAGTATGCTTCACGCCCAATATGGGGCTTGAACTCACAACTCTGAGATCAAGACTGGAGATCAAGAGTCAGATGCTCTACCAACTGAGCCATCCAGGTTCCCCACAGGATCTTAAACGCTTAAAAAGTTGAATTGAACTAAGCTGCTTTTTAATTATAGATACAGATTTACATCGTGGACCATATCCCCTTGCTTGTGATCAGCAGCCAATGTTTTCAGGACAGCTGACAGAATCAGGGTTGGGGATCAGTTTTAACACTGCAGACATTTATCCAGGTAGTCATTAAATACAAGACTGGATCACAGAACCTAAATTCATTTGCATCATATTCTAATGAAATGAACTAATAAGTACAATATATATTTGGTGACTAAAGATGAAGTCAGTGAAGAAAACATATCTTGTGTGAATTTTAGAACGCTCAAACATTCATACTTCACACTCACTGACACGCTTTATAACTGTGATAAGTTGAGAATGATGTATACTTAATCATGAATAACCATTAAGTTAATGTGCTTTTTAAAATAAAACTGTTTTCTTGTGGCAGGCAAATTGACGGTTCCACATCACTCTGATGCTTTCACAAAACCCTGGAAGATCTAATTTTGTAAATGGGTCCCCTAACAAGTGAACAATTCCACTCTGAGTATACTCTTCTCAACCTGGCTCCCCATAGGGTCACTCTACTCACAAAACACTTAAATTACATTAAAAATCTATAAAAAGTGCTTTGATTTCATGAAATAAAATAAAAGCAAAATAACTATAGGCTTTTCCATTAGAAGGAAAAAAAAAAAAAAGGAAGAAAACGAATATGCTCACCTGAAAACACATCAAGTCTTGCAGCCCCTGCATCTCTGGAAACAATATAAAAATATCACTGCTTCAATATGAAATTATGTCTTAAAAAATTACATTAATCTGAATTGCTTATGTGAGGTATAACCTATTGTCAGATAGCTAACAATAGAGAAATCCACTTAAATTGCTTCAAAACAATTACTAAAATGTTTTGCTCTACATTTATGTACTAAGACCTATGATCACTCATCATTTAAGAATGTTACAAAACCCTGAAACTTGGAAATTTAAAAGAAGAGATGGAATTTAGTGGTAGTTACACAAAAAGCTCACCAAAAATGGATATGAATATTAAAAAAAATTAGTTGGCTAATAATCCATAAATTGCAGAAAGATTTTCATGATATATTTTAGTCCCCCCAAAAATGAAAAGAAACAGCAAATTACTAAGTAATATGTACTGTATGATCACATGTTTTTAAAGAACATACATGATATACAAGTCTATATATGTAAGGAAAGAAATCAAAACAGTGGTTTTCTCCAGACCAGAGGTTGGCAAATTATGGTCCAAAAGCCAAATGTGGCCCACCAACTGTTCTTGTAAATAAAGTTTTATTGGAATACAATCATGCCCATTCATTTACATATTGCCTAGGGCCGCCTTCACACCACAATGGCAAAGTTGAGTAGTTTCAACAGAGAACACATGGCCTGCAAAGGGGAAAATATTTACTATCTGGTCTTTTACAGAGAAGCATGTTGATACCCCTCCCCTGGGCCATGTGATGAGACTACTGATGACTTTCTTTTTCTTATTATTTTCTCAGTTTTCTACAACTCACAGATATTGTGTATTTTTTTAATTTTTTTTAAGTAGAAATTTTAGAAGAAAAAAAACAAGAGCCAAAAGACCCTGGTTTCAATGTGAGGGATGAAGACAATGAGCATGGCAGTCTTAGCTGATGCAGAAGTGGATGTGTTGAGTAAGGGAAGCTCAGAATAATAACAACCACTGGGACTCTAATCGGGAAATTTGAGTCTCTCCCAAAACGTCCTCCAATTCCAACCCAAAACTACACCAGATGAGTCTGAGTAGGTACACGAACTTGTTCTACAAGCCTTCAAAGTTGGCCCCTTAGCTCCTTCCTCCAGCCAACTGCTCTTTTAAGCTCTTCCTTTACGGAAATTCTGGAGGCACTACTGCCATTTCTTGGAGCATTTTCTGTGTGTCAAATAAGCACTGAATGAAGTATTTTTAAGCCTTCGCTCCTAATCCTTACCACAATCCCATGACATATAAGTATCATTGTCTCCATTATATAATTACACATTATACAAAACACCATGCACACAATAGGTGCTCAGTAATGCCACTGCCCCGAAATGGAAGTTTTCAAAGGAAGAGTTTCTTCATAGAGAAATGCCATGGGATAAGATATAGAAAAATCATTCACCTCTACAGCATATTAAGACATCTTATAATAAGCTTTGTGCTTTAGCCCCGGTACTTTCTCTCTGATCAGCTGGCATATCAGGAAGAGGCCCCGAACCATCTCTTCCTATACTGCCACATTTTTTTTCCTGCTGTCTACAACATTCTTTTAATATCCTCCAGCTTTAATTTTGACAACCACAGGAAACCATCAAACTCTTAAATAAAATGATATAAAATAATTTCTTAGAATAACACAGGGACTTTATAAAGACCTTCTTCATGAGAACAACTAAGCATCTTGAGTAAGTCTATTAAACAGCTTCATGTGATGTCAATTACTAGCATCTGAGCAGCCTTGGCAAACTGCAATGTCTGCTGCAGACAGAGGAACTGAGGAGTTCAGGCTGGCTGTGGGGGCCACCGCTGGGAACAGCAGAGCTGAAAGCACAGACTAGTCCCAACAGAGCACCTGCTATGTGCCTGGCCCACTGAGCAACCTCAAGGCTGCTACTTCTAATCTTTAAAAAAAAAGGGGGGGGGTGAGGGCAGGGGACCCAGATATCTTGTGTGGCACCTCCTGTCCCTTAAACTTTATAAACAATCCCTTCTTTGCGTCCTTTTCTTTATAACTCCCATGTAAACTCTCGCCCTGTGTCCAAAAAACAGGAAACAGGCTAGACTTGGTCAGAGGCCTGCCAGTTTACAGATGCTGCTCTGAGAACTGTTTTATTGATCACATTTCTCTCACTCCCCTGGGTCTGAAGTCAAATTTTCCTTGCCAATCTCCTTCTACTACACAGAGGTGGTTTACAGACAAGCCTTACCTTGCATTGTCCAGCAATTCGGCCAGTGCTCCAAAAAGGAAACTGTGCGTGGTGCTGATAAAGAAAGAGGGAAAACCGAAAGTTAAACCAACTCTGTAATCAATGTAAAAGCTTCAAGATAACTTGCAGACAAACGTACTCCAGTTCAGGACAGATAATCAATTAAGGACTTATTCTAGAAACAACTTTCTCAGCACGGTCAAGATTCTGAAGTAGATGCGGTCTGTTACAAAGCCAAGGCTAAGAACACGATTGCCAAAATAGCCTGTCTGTTCCTAATAAAACAAAGACTTCAAGGACTTTACTGTACTTACAGCATTGATGTTTTAAAATTGCTTTATAAGCATTTATGCAAGGTTTTTTGGAGAGCTTGCCATCAAAGTTGTCTTATTTAAGGTCAAATTATTTCTGAAAGATCTTGATCGATATCCTGGTACACCAAAAGGCCCTAAGACTCCATCTGCGGGCACAGGCACCGGCAGGGGACCCCTGTTTGCCCCATTAATCTCTATTTTGCTGTAGGCCCTTTTCTCCCCTGAATTACCTGTGGTCACTCCTCCCTGTACCCCTTCATGTTAGGACCTGCATGACAGAACACACTGGACAGCCCTCACTACTAATGCTCTGAAGGCTGAATATTCACCTGTGGGTGAAATCAGGCTGCCTTCAGGGGTCCACACTTGCTTTTCATTTCTTGATGTGGATATTTCAATCAGCAGCTTTATCACAGCATTAAGGGAAGATTCAGTCTGCAATTTTCTTTTTATATTTAGTAAACAGGTAGCAGAAGCAAGAGAGACCCATTTATCAAAATATATCTGCTCATATGTCGAGAAGAAAGATCATCTGCACTGGCTCAGAGATTCCAAAAACCCCAGGCCACAAGACAATACATTATCTGAAAGTTCATTTTATTTTATTTTTAAGATTTATTTTAGAGAGAAAGAGAGAGCTCTAACAAGCAGCGGGAGGGGAAGAGGGAGAGAGAGAATCCTCAAGCAGACTGAGCAGGATCCAGCTGGATCCCCGATCCAGCTCGGGGCTGGATCCCAGGACCATGAGATCACAGCCTGAGCCAAAATCAAGAGTTGGATGCTTAACCGACTGCACCACCCAGGCGCCCCTCCATTTTGGGGGAATTTTAACCTTTAAACACATGCTGATGTGGGGTCTCTGGACTCAAGTCAGCTTTCCAGTTTATAATTTAAAAAATAACTAAATACAATTGCTGCGAAAAGATGGACTTCACTCAAAAGAAATCTAGTGTATAAAAATCTAAAACAGAGCAAAAGTGAAAGTTATATGCTTTACGAAAGCGTCACTTGAAACCACAAGACTTTCTAGTGAATTTAAAACACATGATTCAATATACAAGAATTGAACATAAACAATACTTCAGGAAAGTAACTGTAGTCATTCTGACCAAGAAGTGCCATAGAAGTGTCTATATTATTTCACTCAAGAGATTTTAACACACTGCCCGCCATGTGCCAATGTGGACAGAGAAGGTCTTGTCTGTCTGAGTCCCCCTTGGGACTCAAGCCGGGGGGGGATATAGAAAAACATACAAGTAAACAAACAAAGATGATATAGCAGATCATGGTTAGATGCTAGGAAGGAAGGGTGATGAGGAAGAGTAATGGTAAGGAGAGGACACGGTGGTCAGGGAGAGCCTCTCTTCACAGAAGACAATTGAGCCCTGAAGGCTGAGAACTCAGTTCCTGGCAGAGCTGGAGTGGAAACTCTGCAGCGAGAGAAGCAGCTGCAAAGACACTGATGCAGAAAGGAGCCAAGGAGGCCAGTATGCTCTGGCTACGTACGATAAAACAGGGAGATGATGCTGAGATGCGGGGTGGCCGGTCATGCACTGCCCTCTACTCCATGCTCAGGAGCTTGTACTCAGCCTACCTGTAACTGGAAACCACGGTCATGTTTTAAGAAGAGCGACATATCTGGCTTACTTTTTAAAAATCTCACTCGGGGGAGAGCCTGGGTGGCTCAGTCGGTGAAGCGTCTGCCTTCAGCTCAGGTCATGATTTTGGGGTTCTGGGATTGAGCCTCGCATCGTCGGGCTCCCTGCTCAGCACTTCTCCCTCTGTCTCTGCCCCTCCCACCCCCCAGATCATGCTCTCTAATAAATAAAATCTTTTTTAAGAAATAAAATAAAAATCTCACTCTGGCAGCTCTCAGGAAAATGGACCATCGGGGAGCAAGAATGGGAAGCAGAGAACCCAGTTTAGAGGCTACGGGGAGCATCTCCCCAGGGAGACGGCAGCCAGTGTGGACCGAAGTCAATGGCAGGGGCAATGCAGAGGAATGGATGCATCAGAGACATAGTTAGAGACAGGGCGAAGAGGATCTGACGTTGAATTGGATGTGGGAGTGAAACGAGAGAAAAAAATCACTCCTGCCTTGACTGAGGGAATTTGCAAACAAAAATCTATCTGAAGAAGCTGAGAAGATACCAATTGGTATCTGATTTTGTGGTTGTTGCTTCACACTGCTGTCACTTTTGTTACTAAGTTATCGGGCCACCAACTGATAACGCGATGCAGGCAAGGGGGAACCTAGTGGGACAGGAAGCGCCTGGGGAACAGCAGCTGCGGTAACAACACAACACTGAGGCTGAGGAAGTTTCCCGAGATAAAATCCACAGTCCTTCCAGCATTCCACCCGCAATTTTTCTTAAACTCTACTCGAAATTGCTATTTTGTCATTTGTCTTCCGCCTCAGTTAACCTTTTAAATATCTGTTCCATCCTTGCCAGCTTGAAATTATTCCCTAAAGATTTAAAAAAAAAAAAAAAAGCCCTAAACACCTGCCGAATATTGCCCATTTGACTTTGTCTCCTGTAAAAATTACGTGTTTGTCCCAAGCAGCAAGGCTGGCCTTGCCTGGCATTCTTTACACTTTCGTTTCTGTGGTTTCAAACCTGGGTGCATCCCTTGTATCAGTGGGTACCTTTCCTAACTCCGAATTACTCAAAGACTCCAAAAACACCCACACAGCGATATGAGTTAGGCAGCACTCACTGCTCTGTGCTGTGTTGGGAATGACAGATGGGACAGGAAGCCTCTGTCATCCGCCTCTGCAAGCTGAAGATCTGAAATTAACACCTGATGAGTCCGCAAAACGCACCTGGGCCTGAGAGAGAAGCAGAATGCTCTAGCAAGAACCAAAATGTGAGGATTCTTTGCTGGGACAGGTTATATTTTTGCAAGGACTCAGGCCACAGAGGCTGGAATCAATAAATACAAATTACTCTCTGGAGGGCAAGCTTAATCTTTAAAATGTCAGTGTGCTGGGCAGAGAAATCACAAGAGATAGGCTAGGCTGGTAGAATTAGGGTTCTGCTAACCTCCAATTAAATAGTTTGTTAAATGTGGAGCCTTCTTACCCTGGTGTTATTTTTAGAACAACAAAAAGGTTTATAAACTAGCCCAGAATAGGGGCGTCTGGGTGGTTCAGTTGGTTAGGTGTTGGACTCTTGATTTCCACTCAGGTCATGAGCTCAGGGTCCTGAGACTGAGCCCCATGTCACGCTCAGTAGCATGGAGCCTCCTTGAAATTCTCTCTCCCCCTGACCACCCCACCCCAAAGCCAGCACTTTGGCACAAGCTTGCTCTCCCTAAAAATAATCATAATCTGGCCCAGAATAGTATCTTTACTACTTTTTCATTATTTTTTAACACAAAAACTTTAAATAAAATTTCCATAAATCAATGATACCAAGTTCATTTTTTTTTTTTTTTTTCCAAATTGGATACTTCACTAGGAGACGAACCAAACTCTTCTCCACTAGTGGGGACTCTCCCTCGTTCACGCTTCACCGGACACTTACGAGTTGGCGTGGATGAAATCCAGATGCAGCTGGGCCCGCCGCAGACTAGCATACTTGTCGCCCATGTCCTCGAAGGCGACCCGCCGCAGCCCTAAGACACACGGACCACTGCTTACCTCCCCGGCAGCGGCCCAAGCCCTTGTCCCCGCCCACGTGCTCGTCCCACCCACGTCCTCTTCCCTACCCACGCCCTCGTCCCCGCCCATGCCCCAGGGGACGCGGCTCCGCAAACACCCACTCCCCCTGCCGGCTGGAGGGTGAAGTTCACCCTCCCCTGTCCGCCTCGGTGTCTGGCCAGGTAAGTCTTTACTCTTCGTCTTGAATCCACTCTATGAGAATGAGGCATCCGAGCAAGACTCCTCTTTCCACACTGAGATTTATTTAACCTTCCTGCACAGTTGTTCTATCATTCCCCAGATGGGAAATGGAGCCCAAGCCTAGGATCAGAATTTGATCAGAAATGATTGCACACACACACAAAAAGAATGTGAAGAAGCTGGGTCTGGAGGTTGGGGGGGTATAGGGAAGGAAAATGGGTAGTTTTCCTTCACATGCATAGTTTGTTCCACAGCACCAGAGGTAAAGGCATTTGTGTGCTAACCCAGCACTGACCTTCCTGTGTTTCTTGGGTTGAGACTGTTTTCTCCCATCAAAGAAAAGAAAGAAGGAAAGATCAGCCAGAGAGAAAAAGGAAGGACAAAAGGCAGTCAGAACAGAATTTGGACTTTGCTGTGATGTGGAGGCTTGTGTTCGTGAGAAACTTTTTCACCTGTCAGCTGATAGTCAACGATTTTATGTGCTGGCCCAGCTCAAAGAACAGACATTCTGTACTGTTCCAAAAGATAGAACTGGGCAGGTAAAGGTTCAGGGGAAGGAGGGGGTGGGGGTGAATGTAAGGAAGGACTGTGAGCACCAGCTGTCCAAATGCTGTTACTCACAAAGCACTGAGTTCCAAGTCACCAAAACCCCAGCTGAAATACGACTTGTCAAAGATGCTTTCTGGAAAGGTCCTGGTGGTGATGAGAAATTAGGTAACCTAATTGACCTCTAAAAAGTCTTCAGACTCACTCAATCTAGGGCTATATGACTTGCAAACTAAAGTAGTTCAATAGCACTCAGCAGAGATTTTGTCATAGTTTTAAAATCAGAAATGAGGGGCGCTTCGGTGGCTCAGATGGTTAAGCATTTGCCTTCAGCTCAGATCATGACTCCAGGGTCCCGGGATGAGTCTCACATTGAGCTCCCTGCTCAGTGGGAAGCCTGCTTCTCCCTCTCCCACTCCCCCTGCTTCTGTTCCCTCTCTTGCTGTCTCTCTCTCTGTCAAATAAATAAATAAAATCTTAATAAAATAAAATCAGAAATGAGTGTCTATTGAATAAAGAACTTGAACTAGATGTGTTGTGATTTCCGGGCATCATACAAGCAATGAGGTCTCAGAAAAGAAAAGAAAAAAAAATTGTCAGTTTTGGGATAGTCATTTTACTTCTTAAAAAAGTAGTTTATCAGCTACTACATTTATAGGAATCAGGAGAGGAAGAGAGAATTTGAATGAAAACCCAAAGGAACATGATGCTCTACTTTAATTTGAAAACTGGAAGTAAACATAAACATTTCAAGTAATTTTCCTGATTGCATTTTTGTTTTAACAGTGGCTGACGTGGTGGTGTTTTGATAGGAAAATTCTCTTTACTAAGCAACTTGAGCTATCTTTCCAATTTCTCCTTCTGTAGAACTTCAGAAGTATGATATTTATTTTCATTTTATGGACAAGAAAAGCTTGACAAGCCTCTTCTGGATTTATTTTACTACCCTAACTTCCAGCTGCTATCTTAAAGCAATTTACTATTGGGAGGGCACTGGGGCCACTCGCCTGTAATTAGTAAAGGCTGTAATATCTAATTTCTACCAGAGGGAAGGGTGTGATTATCATAGAAGCAGGTCTTCTAATAATATGAGCAGAGTAAGTGGCCAGCCCCAAAGCACTAGATGCCTCTGATTGGCCTGGATAACAGGCACTCAGGGGGATCTGTTAGATATGCTAAAACAGAAACCTGAGAGTCATTACACACAACCCCCAACAGCCGTTTCCCTTCACCATTTCAACTCCACTTAGCCACTCTCCAGTCATACAGGTAAATGTTGTTCCTCTTCAAGATACACTTTTGGGATACGTTTTCTTAGCCACCTCCCTCAACCCTTCCTCAAGATTCATTTTAACCTTATTTTATGATACAAAAATATTGGAGAAATAGCAGGAAGGGGAAATTTAAAAATGAGAACATCAGGGGCGCCTGGGTGGCTCAGTTGGTTGGGCATCTGCCTTCGGCTCAGGTCATGATCCTGGAGTCCTGGGATCAAGTCCTGCGATCAAGTCCTGCAACGGGCTCCTGGCTCAGTGGGGAGTGTGCTTCTCCTTCTGACCATCTCCCCTCTCATGCTATTTCTCACTCTCTCTCTCTCTCTCTCAAATAAATAAATTAATTAAATACTTTTTAAAAAATGAGAACATCATCTGCTCATCTTTTGGTTGATCCTGATTTTAAGGAGAGTCAATTGGGATAAGAGACTCTTCAGCTTTTTCTAACTAGACATTTCAGCTTTGCAACATTCGTGTACTAGTCACAAACAATGGCTCAGATCTTTCAAACTATACTCTCCCCCTTTCATTTAAATAACTTTGTATGGGGGTGCCTGGATGGCTCAGTTGTTAAGCGTCTGCTTTTGGTTCAGGTTGTGATCCTGGGGTCCTGAGATTGAGCCCCATATTGGGCTCCCTGCTCTGCAGGAGGCTTGCTTCTCCCTCTCCCACTCCCCCTGCTTGTGTTTCCTCTCTTGCTCTGTCTCTGTCAAATAAATAAATAAAATCTTTAAAATAAATAAATAAATAAATAGCTTTGTATGGGGGCATCTGGGTGGCACAGTCCATTAAGCGTCCAACTCTTGGTTTCAGCTCAGGTCATGATCTCAAGGTCATGAGATTGAGCCACGAGTCAGGCTCTGCATTAAGCATGGAATCTGCTTAAGACTATCTCTGTCCCCGAAGGGGGAGGAAAAGATGGCAGAGGAGTAGGGGACCCTATTCCAACCAGTCCCCTGAATTGAGCTGGATATCTACCAGATGACTCTGGACACCCACGAAATCAGCCTGAGATGTAAGAAGATATATCTGGGTCTCTACAAACAGAATATTGCAGCGGTTGGTTTTGAGGTATGAAGTGGGGAGTCGTGATTCCGCAGGCACACATCAGAAAATAAATGGAAGGAGGAGGGAGCTGTGGGGATCCTACACCACTGGTGAGCAACAGCCTCCCACGCTGGGGATGGGGCACAGACTCGCAGACTGGTAGTGCTGGGGAAAGGAATTTAGGGCAGCCCCCTGGACTGAAACCTGGAGTGGCAGGGCCTCACATATGCACTGGGGGTGGCTGGTGGTTTTAGAAGCACAAAGGGCAGAGATGTGCCCCCATGCCCCAACCTGGAGACAAGGACTGGGAGCCCTGTGGAGGGGCACACAACCCAGGACGCTGCAGTTTATAGCAGCACACACAGAAACAGAGACAATGTGGCCTGGAGAGCTCACTGAAGAACAGACTGCAATCTCTCTGCTCTGAGGCAGAGGGTTGGAAACGATTTCTTCAGCTCTGACTCTTGGAAGAGACACAGAAAACCACCAAGGAAAGCCGCGAGAGAACTAAAGCCCCAAAAAACCGGTTTTCACTGAGCCCACCCCCCCACAGGGGGCAGGGCAACTCTGACCAAACAGAGTGGCCCAAGTAACAGCTTGGCAAGGCCCATCCCCCAGAAGACAGGCTGGGAGACAAGAGGCCAAAAACACTAGGGTCCCTATAAAACAGGTGCATCTTGCTTGGGTTGTGGTCAATAATTTGGACTCTGTACATTCCCTCCACCACCCCTCAACCGAATGACTAGGAGGAGGAACCCCCAAAATAGGAAAGACTCAGAGACTGTGACTTCTGCCACAGATTTACAAATGGTTACTGATATAACCAAGATGTCAGAAATGGACTTCAGGGTAACAGTTACGAAGACAATAACCAAAATGGAGAAATTGATTAATGGCAACATAGAGTTTCTAAGGGCAGAAATGAAAGCTGAGCTGGCAGAATTTAAAAATGCTATCAATGAGATCTAATCTAATCTAGATAATCTAACAGCTAGGGTAAGTGAGGCAGAAGAACGAATTAGTGATCTGGAAGGCCAATTGATAGAAAAGAAGGAAAAAGAGGAGGCCAGGGAAAAACAACTCAGAATCTGTGAAAATAGAATCAGAGAAATAAGTGACACCATGAAACGTTCCAGGGTCAGAATTATTCGGATCCCTGAGGGGGTGGAGAGAGAGAGGACTGAAAGATATATTTGAGCAAATCATAGCTGACAACTTCCCTAATCTAGAGAATGAAACAAACATTCGTGTTCTAGAGGAAGAGAGGACCCCTCCCAAGATCAAGGAAAACTGGCCAACACCCTGGCATGTAATAGTAAAACTCGCAAATCTTAGAACCAAGGAAACCACCTTAAGAGCAGTTAGGGGGAAGAGATTCCTTATGTAAAGAGGGAGGAACATCAGAATGATGTCAGACCTATCCACAGAGACCTGGCAATCCAGAAAGGTCTGGCAAGACATATTCAGGGGACTAAATGAGAAGAACATGCAGCCAAGAATACTTTATCCGCCAAGGCTGTCATTTAGAATGGATGGAGAGATGCAGAGCTTCCAAGACCAGCAGAAACTGAAAAAATATGTGACCACTAAGCCAGCCCTGCAAGAAATATTAAGGGGGGTTCTATAAAAGGAGAAAGACCCCAAGAGTGATATAGAACAGAAATTTACAGAGACAATCTATAGAAACAAGGACTTCACAGGCAACATGATGACAATTAATTCATATCTTTCAATAATCACTCTCAACGTGAATGGCCTAAATGCTCCCATAAAATGGCACAGGGTTGGAGATTGGATAAAAAGACAGGACCCATCCATATGCTGTCTACAAGAGACTCATTATGAACCTAAAGATAGACCCAGACTGA